TGCTGACTCCTGCTGCTTTGGTGAGCAGTGTCAGTTCTTTCTTGACCAGACAGCGGTGAGATGCAGTGAGGATGAATGACAGCCTCTCACCTCAAATATACTTTTCACCAGCCCGGTGACTTATGAACGTGTGTCCTCAATGTATCTTATGACCCATAGGTCTGTATTACAATATATAACATATTGAGAAAACCAACTGGCCATAAAGCATTTCTTACCTCCGTTAGCATTGCGTGTTTGCCAGCGTAGCTAAGATTGTGTCAGCACTTCCAGGATAAACTTCCAGATATTTCAGGCTTTTTGATAGCTTCTCGTTTTCTCCAGGCTGACTCTAAGCAGAGAAAGAATACCTACGTTATCATTTAACTGCATCTTAAAATTATTGCTCTGGTTGATTTTAAAACATAGCAGTAAAGAACAAAATGTTGCATTAATGTGCCAGATTTTTTCGCACTTTTTTTGGTACTGTGTACAGACCTTATTATATGTTACATTTAGTGAATATACTTTTAATCAGGATTACGTATGCATAGGTTAAAATAGCATTCTGTTTCTCTAGTATCCTGCTACCCGACATACGTGGTCAGTCAAAGGTAGGTTAACCAAAGGTAAGTTGTCCTTCGGTGCGAAGGATTATTTCTAAGGAATCTTCATTTTCTTCCAAGTTTACGTCTACAAAAGTCATATTACAATGGGCTTTATCTGTTTATAATGCTTTTAAGAGATAATGTCAATAATATTATTCTTACCATTTTATGAATAAAAAAATGATCCACAGATAGAATAGGATGTGCTCCTTTAGATTAATAGTAGTAATTTATTACTTAGTTAAAAAAAAAAGTTAAAAAATTTTTCAAAGCGTGAATAGACAGAAATCAAGGCATTTCTAATTAAGGTACGTATGCTAGTCCTAATTCATGGGAAAAGGCTGATTTTAATTAGCATTCCACTTGCACTTTTTGTTTGTTTATGAGAATATGTATCCTATTTCCATTGCATTTAAAACAATTCGTTTCCTTTTGCAGCATCGGTACATTCATTAATCTTAACCACTTTTTACAGTTTGGTTGCTGATGTTGTGGTGTTCAACTCTGCTTTTAATATGGAATCGTTTCTTACATCCATTGGAAAATTTATGAAGCTGATTCCTGACCACAGACCTAAGGATTTGGAAAAAATAATCAGACCGAAGTGCCAAGTTCTTTATTTTCCAGTCAGGTTTCCTGATGTGAGCAGGTCAGTACGTTTTCCACGAGATAAATTGCCTCCAATCTGTCAAAACTCTCTATTTATGGTGACGTCCTAACTAATCAGCTAAAGCATCATTAATGAAAGAGTTTGATAGTATGCAAAATCCCCTAATTGATAAATGTATTTCAATAATCAGAAGCTATTCAGGCAGCGTCTGATCTGCCGAGCCTGTCCTTAGTGCGTGTCGTACAAACTTGCATCGTTCGGGATCAGTGATTTCCCACTTGTTTTAGTGATTTCCCACTTGTTTTAGTCTTTAAGGAGTGGCCTGCTCCTCATTTCTGTATATATTTGTACAGGGGAGGTCAAGGAGGAGAAAGAAATGCTAGAGAAGAGTAAAAGTGATAAGCCTAGAGTCAAGAAGCTATATTTCCCTTGGTGCATTGCAGTGGGATTTTATTCCCTCTTCCCTCCCCTACCTCTTCTTTTATTGCTTTCCAGGTAGGTGAAAAGCATCCCCGTAGCAGGGAGCGGACTTGCAGATGTTGGCATTAGCTGCAGCCGTAGTTGCTCTTCAGTCTTCCTCGGTTACTCTGAAGGACGTTTTTTATTACCCTCGTTTCAGAGCCCGTCTTGAAATTAGCGGTGGGTTATGTGGCTCAAAGGGAACATTCGCTAGATCCTTTTCACTTTTGATTAAACCTGGCACAATTGTTTTTCCTGTTATAAGGGACTCTCCTCCTGCCGAACAGGAACTTTGCTTCAATGGGACCAGTACTAAATAGAGTATGATTCTGCAATTTGATGATGCTCTTAAAACAGCGCGATGCTGGGTACATTTTTTTGCTGAAATAAGGATGGAAAGCACTGGAATGACTCTGCAAGAGTCCGGCTTTTGATCTGATAATAAGTTCTGGCCACACTTGAGATCTTTGTCCCTGACCATGTGGTACTTAGAGTTATTTTAAAGGCTAAATATACATTTCTGGTAGTTTGGGGTAGAGAGATTTTTCGTACAGGAGCTGAGGTCGTGCACTCCATTGATGTTCATGCTGCAAGGTTTGCATTTCAGTATCTCGTAAAACTTTATATTGTAAAGCACTGATGCCAATCATTTGAAAATCAATGTCTAAAGTTAATTCTTTAAGCCTGTGTTTTTTGGCAAGTGGGTTAAAATCCTCCAGTGTTTCTTAGGGACTTGGCTGCCTGGATGGCAGTGGAGATCAGTACCTATATATCTTTGAGGATCTACTATTGCTTCTTAGAGACCATGTTTTTCAAGAGTGAGGGAATGCTGTGAATGCTTAGCATATTTGATATCGAGCCATTTTAAAAGGGTCTCGTGGTTTTTAGCATACACTAGGAAGTCATGTGGTCCAAGCCTAGTTTTGGAGATGAAGTTGTGATAACCCTGTCTCGTATATTAAATCAGCTCTTTTGGACTTGTCAGCCCTGGCAGATGGGGTCAAACGAGACCTGACAAATTAGTCTGAAGTCATACGCACGGTGATCGTTTGTCCAAAGCAGAAGGTGATTAGGTGGGTAAAATCAGTCGTCTGCTACCCAAACTGATCAAGTGGGAAGATCCCATTTTACTGAGTGCTGCTCTTAACGGCCTGCTCTTGTATTAAATCTCATCTCACAAAGCAGGACACCTTTCCCGTTTTTATTGTGGTGGTTCCACTTGAGATTATATCGAAAAGCTATTTGCAGCAGTGGTGGACAAAATTAAGATTTCACAAACAACTGTGTGACTGTACAAATTTCTCAGCAGAGTTATTGGAAACACAGCTCTAGTATTTCTAATATCTATTTTATTCAACAGCTAACTCTAGATGCAAGTTTGGGCTTTTTTTAGACAAAGCCCAATACTGTCACAGAAAAAAAAAAAAAAAGGCAGAAGAAAGGACTGCTTCTGCATAACTCTGAAGTTCGTTGGGTTTTGACCTTCAGCTGCAGCCAGTATTTACTATATCTTTACAAGATCATGTTTTAAGTAATGTTGAACGCACCTGTGGCAATTGAAGGCTGTTTTTTAATTTTGACTGTATTAGTATACTGACTGAATGGAGATTGAGGAGAAAAAGGTTAAGAAAAATTGTGGCCAAGCTAAAATTTATAAAGCAAGCTCTTAGCCCAGAGTGTTTTTCAAGTTATTTTCAAATGGTAATTTGCTTTATCCAAACCGAACTCATACAGTGTAAGTAAGTGATTATTTGCATGACTGACAATCATTTCAGTGCCTGCAGTCTTTTTAAAATGCATAATTTTGCTGAGATGTTGGGAAAATATTTAAAATTTCTGAAGGCAAAATAACCAGGGTGAATTTTTTTTTTTCTTTACTTTGACCTCTTTTATTTTGCATGTGAACGTCTCAGGTTGCCTTTGTGTCTTAAACGTAATCTTCATTTGGATTTGGCAGAGAGCTGATTCAAGAAATCATCCTCACGCATGTGAAGGTGATCTTTTTGAGATTATTTTAGATTAATATTGCAATTGTAGGGCAAAATAAAATATATCTGACCCTTGATCAAAACCAGAGTAATAAAGAAGCATGTCACATGAGTTAATCCTGTAATGTATCTACCTTTTAATGTAATTACTGTAGATGATGGGTATACAAACTAGCACAAGCAGCATAGTAAATGATCACTTAAGAATGAAGGTAAAATGATGAAGGATACTCTAGGAAATACTTGTGAGTACTACTAGAGGTACCATTATACATAGGTGTAATGTGTATTTAAACACATTTCAGATGGGCATCTAATCACTGCTTTTCTACTTGTGAGAGGAAGTTATTGATGCTTTTTTATAAAGATTCTTCTTTTTAATAAATATTTGGCATAAGGGCACATATTGGTGTTCCCAGAGCAAACAACCAGACTGTGGTCCTTATCTGACAATGAGAAGAGATGAAAGGATTTGAGGATTTAGCAGAATAAGAAATTTACTGACCTAATCCTCCTGTTTTCTGGTTCTGACGATGACTAGCTTCCATATTGCAGCCTGTGGTGCCACAGCTACTCCGTGTACGTTCATCCTGTATAATTTCTGACTTTGAATTCTCCTCTTCATACATTCTGATGAAGTATATTATGTAGAAAGACATATCGGAGTACTTCTAAGCTTGGAGACAAAAGCCCCTCTAAGTTAAGGCTGTCACTTCATAGTGCGTAGGTATCGCAAGGGAGGTAGACCAGTAGCTGATCTTATGTGCCATATGTGCTGTGTATCAGACTGGGGTTTTATAGCACAGTGAATTAAATACATTGTATTTCACACTTATATTGTCATTGGCTTAATTTCAGTATATTTTCTATTGTAATGCAAATAAAATCCTAGGGTTTTTTTCTATACAATCAATAGAGTTTATTTTGATATAATCTGTTACCACTTTTGCACTGGAAAACTGTGGACCAGGAAGAAAATTCCGCTTCTGATGATGTTGTCTTTGGTACTCGCATCTCCATATGCCAGCAGACCCTGCTGGAACACCTCTGGAAGGTCTTTGTTGCTATTTTGTATGAATTCCCTTGGCCCATCTGCATCCATACTCTCTGTGACAGCAAAGCGGGGTCAGAGTAGGTACTCCTTGGAATTCATTTCAATGCAAATTGTAATACAGATTTTGGTTATTACTACTGTTCCTCTGATTGTAGTATATCTTTATTATTAGCACGACGTGGTAGAAAAGGAAGATGTTTTTATAAGCAAGAATGAAGTAATGTTCCTAAGAGCTCAAAATGCACATTGGACTAAGGTGGAATAATATAAAAGAAACATGAGAGGATGAGGATTACAGCAGAAAATAAAAATAGCTTCTTTTAAGTGGAACTTGTTAGCGAGTATCTTGTACTATCTGCATTACACTATAACTAAAAAATATAAAATCAAATGGTTGAAAATGTCCCGTTAACTGTACTAAGTTATAAAAGCAAATGAAGAAAGAACAGTCTAAAAATCTTTAATTCTACTTCAAAATGTGTAAGAGAGGCAGCATTTGCCAATTTAGAGAGTACTTTAGGGCCAGTCAGGGGAGTTCCTGACTAAACCAGAAGTTTAAAAGACGCCGACAGTATCTCTGCTACAGAAACGTGACTGTCACATGTGTGGGAGCCTGTTTTGGGGAAATAAAAAAAATCGCATCACTTGGATGAGGCTTGCAGGGCTGAACTTCAGACCTCTGTTTAGATAACCAAGAGGCTCCCCCTTCCTCTGTAGTCCTAACGCCATACAGTGGCTTTGCTGTGCTGGAAAAATACAGATGTCAACAAGCAAGGAGAAACTTGAATCCACAAGAGCCCAAAGCTATAGATGGGCACTGGGGACGTGTCTGCATTGCACAGAGAGATGCTCAGCAGTGGTACCCAAGTGAGCTCTAGTGAACTGTCTTGCATACGGGAAGCAGTATACCTTAGAAGGGCCATTTTTGGCTAATTAGCCTTCCAGTGAAATAGCATATATTAGTTTAGGTGGAGTACTATGCTAATGATAGTGATTCTGGTACTGAGGCAAGCTACCGCCTTTGGTGATGGCTCAGGCATCTCTGTGGTGCGTCGTGCTCTTTCTGGTAGGCATAGCCTCCCTGCCACCACGGGTTATGGGTAGTTAGCATAATTAGAAAATGCCAATAGACTGCTCCTACCTTGAGGCTTGCTGCTGAAGAATTGGGTGATGGAAATTACTCCCCTGAATGTCTTTCCCCCTCACCTGCCGCAAGCAGGTATTGAGGGTTGGTGTTGGCACGCTAAGAGTTATGCAACAAGCACAAGGGATGCTTTGAAGATCTGGGACACAGCACCTATTGGGAGGAAAGTGCAGTACTGGCTTAAAAGGGACATAAAATGGAGTCTTTCAGTTCTGGAGCCTTTGGCAGCAGGTCGGTTACCTTCTGCATCTCTGGGATAAGTGCGAAGTGCAGGTAGCCGCATCTACTGCGAGGGGTTGGCTGGCTGAATGAAAGGTGCATCAAACATCCGTACGCAGTGGTGCTTTTGTACGTGATGCTTCCTTCCACGTGTGCATTGTGTGCCATCGGGGAG